GGATATTTATCCACAATGCCACCCAATGATCGCCTTTGATATGCAATGGGACGTATATATCATCAACTTCAACACCCCATAGCTTCTTTGTTCTGCCATAAGATGGTAGATCACCTTTTTGGTAATCCAACGATCCAGCAGGTAGGAGTTTACCACCACCATCTGCATTTGCAGAAGAAGGCARAAACTCCTCCTTGTACTTGGCAGTCCACATCATGGTTAACATGCACTCACCAAAGCACACTCTTTCACTCCTAAACCACTCCGGATGAAGGTTGTGCCGAACTCTCAGTAGAGCTAATGCAGCATCCATGTACTGCAATACATAGTAAGATACCAGGTCAGGAAAGACAGAACAAAAAAATAGAACAATAATGAAAGTCTACAGATGAAGTCTACATATGAAGTCTACTGATGAAGTCTACTTACCGAATCTTTGAGATACTCACGTTCGGTCCGAAGAATCCAAAACCATTCTGAGGTTGTTCTCGATTGTATCTTCCCATAATCGCTGTCCATGATCATAATTCAGAATAACCACAATTCAGATATTATTACAAATTGACATGTTAAAGACATACAGCAGCTTAGAACGGTTAAAGATATGTGTGAATACGAGGAGATGAGAAAGATGGCGGGTCAGATAAAGTTTACCGGCTAGATGAGGACCTCCAAGAGTCAGATCTGCAACAAACCATAAAGAAGACCATAAAAGTGAGAAACAGATGAACATGATATATAAAGTACATATAAGAAAGGAGGATGAGTTATAAATAAATGAAGAACAAATACTTACCCCTTCGAAAATCGACAGCAACGGAGGAGAGGCGACCATAAAAGAGCGAGTGAAAGTTTTTTAACAAAAATATTAGGGTTGAGATTATATAGGCAGGTAAAAAACATCCGGTTAGGTTAAATTTTCCGGTTTACTGTGAAGTCTACAAACGAAGTCTCTGATGCCCTAAACCCTAAACCCTAAATGTAGACTTCCGGGAGAAGTCTACAGATTATATACATCAACTATTTTCGATGAAATATAACATATATACCTTCAAATGTAACATTCATAAATATAAATCCCTAAATCTAAGCCATTACAACATAAACTCATGAAACTATAAATATCAAAAAAAATAACTACCAACATGTAGATACATAAATATCAAAACATATGGGTTTAGTATTCATTTCATTATGAATGTATAACCTAATTTGTCTTTATTGGTTAATTTTGTGAAATTTTGTGAAATTTTATTTTTAATACTTCACAATTGTTTATACTTTCATCATGAATACAAATATTTAATCAAAATAATTTTTGTTAATTTATAAATTTAAATTTTGTAAATAATCAGTAAGTAGACTTCTCTTGTAGACTTCTCTTGTGGACTTCGCATGTAGACTTCGCCTGTAGACTTCTATTTCACAATGTAGACTTCGCAAAGGGTAAAATGGTAACTGGGACATCCGTTTTTTTCTTTGGTCATAAGGGGTCTAATTGTAATTTCACTACCTCTTTGGGTTAGTTTTCGCAAATATGAGATGTGGGGTTTAGGTTTCACATATAAATGAATTTGTGGGTTATTTACAGCAATTTTCCCAAAAATTTTGGATTGCTATATAGACAATGCAGATTTTAAAAAAAGTTTTAAATACCTTGGAATGCAACATCAATTTTTCATCATAAAAGTAATGAAATTTCCAACTCTATTTTTTTCAAAAATGGGTGGTGCATGTAGTAAGATTTTTAATTTAACAATTATCTACAGAAATTTTGATTATTTATACATGAAAGCAATATTTATGGTTTACGTGAATTAAACAATTAGTATCCATGGTTAACATTGTTATTTTCAAGGGTCGCATATTTTTGGGAAAAAAGTTTTGCCTATATATTTGTGTGCTAACTTTTTTTTTTTGATAAAGAGAACCGTTTTTTTTTGCATACATCGAAATATTGAAGTCGCGTTAACATTGGTCTAATGGTTAGACAAAGAGGTATGATTCCAATCCGTAAACTGCGTGTGGAGGAAAAACTTTCTCACATACATTATTCATTTGTCTCTCACTTACATTATTCATTTGTCTCAATATAAATTTATGGTTGTATTTTTGGGTTGTATCTTTTCGAAAATAACCGTTTTATTGTTATTTTTAAAAATTGCGTCTTATCGATATAATCTCTTTTTGAATGGTTGCGTTTTTCCAGTAAAATCGATTTATGGTTATTTAAATTGTTTTCTTCTTCATTACATATTTTTCGTAAGTCTGATTTGGATTCAACTTGAGAATTGATAATAACTATGCTTTAAAATCCCTTAGATATGAAAATTATTAATAACTATGCTTTAAAATCCCTTAGATATGATTATAGGTTTATGTTCATATGCATGTGTGTCGAAAGTAAATTGTATCTTTGGTTGTGTTGACAACAATTTCTTTAAAAAAAAATATAGGTGGAGGTTCTTTATCCCTGCGATTTCGCGGGGGTCGAGTCCTAGTATAACATAATAAAATATTAATTTTAATAAACATAGGTCTCAATTTATGTATATAGTTAAAACAACATCTTAAAAAAAAATTGTATTTGACTGAAAGCCATATTTGACCGCTCGACCTACATGTGCTCTAAAAGACAACCATGTA